ATGTTGCTCTGCTGTGATCACACAGCTCTGCTGTCCAAAACAGCAGCAGAAATCATTGCCTCCCATATACATGCTGGTGTGGGAAAGACACCATTCTGTCTAATTTACCAGCCAAAAGTCCACTCATCTCACTGAGGTGTACAAAAACTAATTTGCTCTATGCCAATGTTGGTTTCATTGGAAAAAATCACCTCTAAAAATCACCTCCCCAGCACACGAAAACAAAATCCCCAAAAGTGAGACATTGAAATTAATCACATTCTTGAAAATCTCCCTTTTCCTCCTCAAAATCAGGCTGGCAATACTTGCAGGCCTCTGGGAAGCTCTCGGGGTAAGAACATCCTCATGGCAGGCAAGATCTTCTCTAAAAAGAGCATTATTTACCTAGTAATTTGCTTTTATTGTTCTGGTCTGAGAAAGAAATCTCTACACAAAGTTTGGAGCATTACACTGAGTTTATTTTGAATAAGAAATCAAAGAATGTTTTTTTCATCTCTGAGCCAGAAGGAAAGAAAAAACAAATGTATTCCACCCTACGAAAGAAAACACATGAGAACTTTCAAAAATTTTTTAAGCCAAGTTTTTTTCTTTTTTTTTTCTCTGAACAGCATGGAAAAAATGAGGTGTAGTTGGTGAATGAGTAAATAGGCTCTGTTTTTAGGAAGGCCTGTTTTCTGGGGAACAAGGGTTTTGTCCATAAGGCACTGTGCTTTCCCATAGATGTCCAAAGTACCTCTGAGTGAGTGTGGGTTAAGTACTGGGATCCTTCTCCTCCCTCTCCTGCCCAGGCCTTGGGGAGACCAGGGTGTCCCAGCAGGGAGGAGTGCCAGCATGGGCAGCTGTCCCACTGCTGGTTTCTTACCAGTGTGAGCCCTGACACATGCACATGACAGTGCAGAGCCTGGTCCAGGGACAGCTGGGTGTTCACAGAGGAGCAAACATCTCCAGCGTGCACAGTGACACCCACAGAAGTGAGAGGGAGAAAAACAAAGCAAGTCTGGAGGCTGAAGCTGGAGACATTTTGTTCCCTTTGGATGCTGCAGCTGTGTGAGCTGCTTCCTTTAAGCAAGGAAGCTGCACTGGGGAAAAGTGGTTTTGTTTTCTCACATGTGAGTTGACTCAGCTACCTTTCTCCTAATTGCTGCAGTGCAGTTTCCTCTGACAGCCAGTGGCTGCCCTCCGACCAGTTCCTTGCTTTCCCAGTGATCAGACACCAGTTCTTGCTTGTTGCTAAAAACAGAGGGGCTACTTTCCAGGAACAGAAAATTAAAAGAGGTCAGACATCTGAGAGAGAGGAATAGTGAGATCAGATTAGCCATTACAAACAGCCAGTTTAAGCTAGACACCATAATGGCTAATGTAGGGTCTGATCCTACTCTACTCAAGACATCCTTCACCTGGGGGTTCATCTGAGGTGCTTTGTATGCTGGGACAGTTCTTGCTTCTTCAGCTCTTTTTAAAGGTCTTATTCAGCTCAGATCTTTAAAACCATGTTCCTAGCACTTAGGTGCTGCAAGAACAAGGTACAAAACCTGCAATTAAGAGATAAGATAGCCACAGTCATGCTTAGAACTAGGATGGTGTAAGTGAGAAGGAAGGCTTTAGTGGAAATAATTTTCATCAGTTTGATTTTTCATACCTATGAATGCTTCTGGCATCACATCTCTGATCTCCACATCTCTCGGTTATACCAGCATGCACAGAGTAAACAACATTCACTTCCATGTCTCCACTTAGTGATTCCTTTATTGGAACATTTGCAGGTATTATTTATAGACATCAAAGGGAATGAGAGTTTGAGATTTATAAGCTCTAATCAGCTGAAGGTGTTTCCAAATAAATTAATGAAACGAGTCAGAAATGACATTAAGAAATTCAGCACTGAATGTAAATCACAATGACTTTGCATCCTCTCTGCCTTTCCCTCCCTTTCTTCCAACAGTCCCAGTGCTTGCCAGGGTATATGAACTCACATTTTTTGATGTAAAACAAGCAAAAGGATGATGGAAATGTGTACTTAGTATGCCAAATGACAGTATTCATGGATAAGCCAAAACTCGAGCTGGGACAAAATAATCTCCTATCACTTAAAACTTTCCATACAACTTGCAGTATCACTCAAACCATACAGAAAGCAGATTTAATGGGGATGTTTGCATATTAAAGAGTGGCAGTTCTTGGCTCATTCTGGTGTTCTGCTTGCATCCCTGCCAACCCCTCCTTTCTGTGACAGGTTCCCGAGCTGTCTTAACACTCTCTCGGTCCTCTCAGTGATTTCAATCTTTGTTGTCATTTGACACCACTGTTTCCCTCCTGCAGGAATACTGGGTCTAGAGGAAGGTCTGTCTCAGCCCGCCTGGCTGCTCAGGCTATATTTTAAGGATGACTGGACACGCCAGGCACGCAATTGCAGCATCCTTCTCTAGCCAGTTCTGTCTAACAGCTACAGTCTTTGATTCCAATGTGTGAACGGAGAGCGTGAGCCCAGTCGTGTTTTGTTTCTTAGTGTCCTTAGCATGTCAGTCCTCTGACTGGAGGACACTAGGTGACACTTGGATCACCTGATCTTGATATGTACCATCACTGCTATCGCTGAAGGGAGAGAAGGATGAAATTGTGGCAAGAAAGAAGTACAGCTCCGGCTTAAACTTCTTTTGTTGACAGAAATCTGCAACATCAGTAAAAAGCAGGAAGAATGTAATTTAACATGGCTGATGCTCAGAATTGCCTTATTTCACCTGAACACTCAGCTCAGCATTCAAAACAAAGGTAGCAGTGCTTCTAATTCAGTGTGGCTCTGCAAGGCTCTGCTCACCAGGGTTTGGGAGGCTCTCTGAGCATGCAGTGTTATATATTTGTACTTCATTATCCAAAAATAGCAGTTTATCATTCTCTCCACAGACACTGTGTAAATATATATGCAAACTCTACAGCATGTATCTACATGCAAGTCCTAGGTACAGCATGACAGGGTATATGGCAGAATGGAGTTGTATTCAAAAGCTGATGAAAAAGCCAAAAGAAAAGTCTCAGGAAATCCAGCCTGTCTGAAGAAAAGCCCTGCCCCAGGATGGTAACACATGGTTTCTGCAGCTGTAATACACAGACCTTTCACTTTTAGTTAAACATAGGCAATTTTCGTCTTGTTCCGGTCTCATATCTAATTTGTACCCACAGGACAGATTCCCAAATGTAACATTTTGTGTATTTTAAAAGAAAATTATAGTTAAAATTAACAAGAGTGGAGGGAGTGTGAGATACAAGGAAGCAGCAGTCTGTAATGGGATGGTCTTAGGAGCAGTATTTGAAAATCTGAAGTGCAAAATCTTGTCTCTTTCTAACAGAGCTGGAGTATTTCAACAAACTTTTTTGTGTTCAGCCAAGGTAAATGTCAGGTCAGGAGGCAATGGAAAAACAGCTCTCCTTCCCAAGATGCCAAAACAACTTCCGTCATTGTATAGCATGTGGCCGTGCAAAGAGTCTAAAACCTGGGAACAAATGCCAGGGTTTCTGCTGATGAATTTAACTGCTATTTTTTTAAATTCCTGATAAGCAACACTGCTGCCTAAACAACAGCTCATGGGACTGAGGAGGAAACTGGCTGGGTAATGATATGACCTCTTTCTGTTTTGCAGCATATTTTATTTTCTACTTTGTTTGGGAGAGAAGTACTGGCCCAAGAAAACAGAGAGATCAATTTACAAAGCACTTTGGAGAAGTGTAAGTTTATTAGACTTTTCTGAGTATGGCATGTTTTTTTTACCAAATCTTGAAACCTGTCTTAAAAACAAACATATTTCAGTGTGTGCAGCTCCTTTGTTTCTGTTTTCATAAAGTCCCTCATCTGGGCTTGACCTGCAGTATGTGTAACACCTATTGGGGTAGAGTTCCTTATGAGGAGGGAGAAGGAATGAAAACATTTCAAAACCATTCTTAAAAGTTGGTGATTTACTTCTGTGGCATTTTCTCATGAGTGGCAGGAATGTAGGACAGCAGGATGGCAGGCAGGCAGCAAGCAGGAAAGCAGTCAGGCTGAAAAAAAAGGAAGGTGGGCAGGAAGGAAGGAAGGAAAGAAAAGCTTTTATTAGCATGGTGAAAGAAGGAAGGAAGGAAGGAAGGAAGGAAGGAAGGAAGGAAGGAAGGAAGGAAGGAAGGAAGGAAGGAAGGAAGGAAGGAAGGAAGGAAGGAAGGAAGGAAGGAAGGAAGGAAGGAAGGAAGGAAGGAAGGAAGGAAGGAAAAGCTGTTATTAGCTTGTTCTTTGCATAGTACCCCGATGGAACACTGGCTGTAATCAGAGCTACAATGAGTATCCAGTACTTAGTCAACTTAATTGTTACACACACGGACGAGACTGCATATAGTAAGGAAAACACTATCTAAACATCTGCTTTAAAAGTTATTTAACCAGAACAAATCATCTGGGAAAGTACAAATATTTCTAACTGGAAAAATATTTCTCTATAGCTGAGCTAGGCCTGACAGCAAACATTAATGAATTATTAGTACCTTTATTGTTTTCTTTGGCCCCTGTGCACTATATTTGTAAAAAAAGAAGTCAGTAAAAAAGAGAACAATTGTAAAAAGCAAATATTTTGTACAAAAATACAAAGTTTTAAAAGCTCTTAAAAGTATATTCCATATTATTGATAAGAGTTGGACTATATATATATATTTATATAAAATCTATATATTCGTGTATCTGTATAATTTTCCTACATTTGGGATTTTAGCAAATGAAACAGCTGTTTACACAGTTGCTTTATATGTTTTTCTATACGAATGACCAACAGTCTTACTCAGAATGTCTTTTCTCAGAAGGCACAAGTTTCTTATGTATGTGGTTACTGGCTGGGGAGAAAATCTATAACAGAATTAGTCCAACGGTATTTCCTGGTGCTGTGGGTTGAAAGGCCTTGAATAATTGCAGGAAGTTGGAGAAGAGTTGCTGTTGAATTCCTTTATGTTTTTAAACCAGTTTTCAGTGCTTGCTTTTTTCTTCTTTTTTTTTTTTAATATTTAATTTTGGAAGTCAATGTTGCTCTCTCCCAAATTTTCTTCTTTACATAAATTTCCATAATATGTAGGTATCTGTAAAGTCACAGCCTATTACACTCCAAATACTTGCCCTATGGTATGAGACAAAAAAAGAAAAACAAAGAGAAAAAAAATATCCTGTAAAAAGCCTGTGAAGTTTAAACAAATTTCCAAAAACAAAACTTACAGAGATACAGGTTTGTAAAAAATATAAGCAGAGTCCTATTCAGATCCTGTAAGTCCTGGAGGATAAATATTTGTAAACAAATAAGTTTTCCTAAAATAACAAATGTATTTTTACATTTGGGCAAATTACATTGTTACTTACACACTGTCCTTCACTCTGAACATCCAAAGAGAGTTATACACACACAAAGCTTGTTCAGCACTTCATTTTGTTTTGTTTTGCTTTGTTTTAGGGGCATTTCTATGGATGGGATGCAATTTTGGCTCTAGCTGACACTTAGGTCTGCCGTCACTGAAATTCAGCCGACAGGTTTCCAGCTGGAGCAGCCAGGCACCCTTGGCAAAGCAATGTTTAAACAGGTTGCCTGGAGAAGATAATGTTTCAGGCAGAACTCCATCTTGAACACAACCAACACCAAGATCTGTGACGATGGGGAGCTGTGCTCTAAGCAGCCATGTGAACCACCTGCCCTCTGCTACTGCAGCAATGCCTGTATCAACAGAAAGAGCTGCCCTGTGGCAATCATCTGGGTGGCTGCTGGGACACATCAGCAGTTTATGAGTCCTTCACTCCAGCTGCAATAGATGAGTTGCTTTTGGTCTGTGGACTCAGCTTCTCAGTCTTATGGGACATATCCTGGCAGTGATGAGAATTTTAAGACCTTAGCAGTCACCAAGTGCATCCTGTTGCACAAACTTTCAAAACAGAGTCTTTGTGCATTCTGATGAGTGGTCCCTGAGCCATCCTAAGGCAGCTTTCCCCCTTGTCTGGCCATTGAACCTATAAAAATAGCTTCCAGTGTGGTTAGGGTCTGGAGCATGTGCCAAATCATGCCTGAAATTTCAGGCATGTTTAAAGTCCACAGGAGATGGTAAGATGCAGAGCATGACATGGCTAGGAGGCTTCTCTCTCTGAGTGCAGTAAAACCAGCACCTGCATCCCACAGAGTACTACAAAAGTGCATGTTGGGCTGGATCTGAGCAGAAGGGCTCCACGTGCACTTCTCATCAAGGCACTGCCATAGCATTTAGCCTGGATCTTCTCACCTCTAGCTGTGGGACATTTATTAAGGATAGGGTGAAATAATCAAACCAAGTGCCATGCTTACCTTTGTCCATGTCTTTTTCACAAATGAAATTGTTAACATCTTCACAGTAGAAGTCATTCCAGAGCCCAGCGTAAATCAACCCGGCACAATCTTCCCCTGGCCCGTGCCCATGACTCCAGTTATCAGGCTGCCCAGTTTTCCAGTTTCTTTCAACCAAAAAGCAAGAGATATGATTGCACAACACAGCACACATGACAGTTTTTCACCACAAGAAATTAACGAAAACATCATGAGATCTGTTCTGAACGGGAAATACGCATTGAAACAAACAATACTTGACTCTTGCTGAAAATGGAAAACAGATGTATTGCAGAGAAGGGAATCTATTCAGCCTCAGGCTGCCAAAACTCAGAGACCTAAATTTAGACCCATGAACTTTATTTTAGTTTCTGAATGTACATGCACACACAGTGGGAGTGCTCCATGCTCCATGTGCATTGCTCCAAGCCTGCAAAACCTGCACACCACGTTCCTGCCAGCAGATGGGACTGAGAAGAGCCCACGGGCTCGTAGGTACTGCCAAGAGGGCAACACCCTGCCCTCACTCACTGCAAAGGCACTCAGCCCTCTGACCGCACTGAGATGGGCATCTTGGAAGGAACAGCAAAGATATATGTGTTTTAGGGACACATGCTCAGATGGGAGGGGATTTTTTTTGACTTATAAGGAATGTACATAGTATATATACACACATAATTCAAGATCATTAGCTTTGATGGTGAAACTGAACACGTCACGTAAAAAATCTTGTATCAAGTGTTTCCCCATCCTATTTTTGTTTAATGAGTGCGAAATGCTTCCAACCTCAGGACTTAAAAGCTCCATTTTCCTGAAGAAACAGGTTGTTGAAGGGAACTTGTGATTCCTGGCTGACACAATCCATGCTCAGCTAAAAACATTCCTGCCTGACACACAGCATCCAACCAGGCACCTGGGAGGACACACAGCATTCCAGAAGTAATGAAATACTTTGGAAATCACTAACTGACAGCTCTAAGGTTACAATTGAACACCTAAAACCATCATGTAGTGGAAACCTATTGAAAGCAGCACCTGAAGTAGGAATCAGTCACAGTGCTGCTGTAAAGAGAAAGAAAGCTGAAAACACAGAGGGAGAAAAAATGGGAAAATATTATGGCTCATTGGAAATGCATCTGACTTTTTCTATGTTTTTCATCTAAATGAACACCAGTGAGACCACAGCTAATCATTTCATAACATCTGACTGACTGTGGCCTATTTTTCTGAAGCACAGCATGGTCAACTCTATAAACTCTTTAGTCTACTCCTCAGTATTAAAAATTTGAGTGGTTGCAATCTGTTCCATTTAGGACAAATTAGGTGTAGCCCTAGGATTCCTGGAGAGCTGCCAATTCAGTTCTCAGCTGGCCAAAACATAGACACCCTCATTTCATGCATTTTCCTTATGTTTAATGCTTTCCACTTGGATTAGGGCTTTATCTAAAGACTGGTCATTTTTTATCAGAACGAGTACTCTATTTATAGCCAGTTGTAATGCAAATAAGGAAAATTCAAACCAAGACAGCAAAACTCTCTGTGCTTTCCATCTCAACTTTGTAATAAAAGTCAAGAGCAAACATTTTGGCAAGAAACTCTGCTCTGTGTAGTTATGTGATTCTTTCATTCAACATTCAGTTTTCTTCCTGGCAAGGAAAGAAAGCCTTGTGCATGGAGAAGGGAGAGAGGAAAAAAAAAGTTCAAGAACACCCTCAGTCACAGATTAAATAACTGGCATCTACAACCATCTGGATCCATTGCATAATTTCTAGATGCTGCTTTTGGAAGTGTCAGCAAGAGTGGTAGCATTGTTTTTTATTTACATACGTGTAAACTGGTAAGGATCCATCCAGCCATCTCCATTCATTTTCCTTCTCTGAATCCGTTAGTCCAATCCAGAAGCTGCCTTTCCCAAAAATCTGCCTTTTTATCCATTGCTGTGAAAGAAAGATCTTAGTCCATAACACAGACAACTGTCTTTGGAGGCCATCAGCTACACTGGTTTCATGAGCATCTTATTATCAGACTTGGAAGGGCCAGAGAAATTTTTCTAACCTGAAGATATGTTTCAGGAGTTGACCTTGTGATCTCTTGCCCAAACTAGAATCCATTGCAGTGTTTGCATGTGAGGTCGAGACAGCTTGGCATGAAAATTAGGTTGACATAAAGTCACAGCTAACACCTTATACATACAAACTGAAAAAGCCACAGAGAGTAGGCACTTGTATCTTGACATCCCACTGCTCTGTTGAATAGTACTAAAAGTATAGTTAGGTTTATAGTCAGATTAAAAATGATTTTAACATTAATATGATTTAATACATGCATCTTAAGACTAGTGTGACCCAAAAATAAATTATATTCACTGATGCAAAAATACATTTTGGATAATATGCAAGGCATAATGGATTCCATCTTAAAAGGTTCAAAGATCCTACAATTCTCAGCAGCCTTTCTGACTGCTCTGTGCCCACCACCTTCAGGGTCAGCACCAGCTCTGCTCACGCTGCCCTTCTGCACATGGAGAAGCTGCTGATCAGGCAGAGGGTGGGCAAAATGCTAAAAAATAATCACTGTGCCTACTTCACTGTGTTTATTCGTGATGCTCTCAGCTCCCCACTTAATGTGTGATTTCCACATGTTAAACAACTTTGAACTCTCTCCTTGGAAAACAGAAAGAGAAGGTAATTACCTGCTCCTCTTTGTTGTTGATGATAACCAAGCGTGATGCCTTCTCTTCACAGAATAACTTTGCCTCTTCAAAAATTTCTCTTTCAATTGAAAAGTAGTAGCACTTTTCTGTATAGTTCTTCCAATGAGGAGAGCAACCTGTGATGTGAATTTTTTGTGTTAAGCCTGGTATTGGTAGCTCAACGAGCCAATAATAGGGCCAATAATAAGTGGTGGAACCCACATCCATCTACAACATGCAGCTACCTGAAGAACTTATAAATAGTTTGGGAATTTACTTATTAGGATCCTGACTCTGTAAAACCAAGTCTAAACTGTGTGATCAAGGGAATTATTTATTACTTACAATACTACTGCCTTTTGTTTAGCTGTAAACATTAACTTAAATCAGTTCCAGGTCATCAGAAGATGACCAATAGGTATGGCTTCACTTAACAGGGCTCTTTGTGCCCAGAGGAGCTGCAGATGCCCCATCCCTGGAAATGTTCAAGACCAGGTTGGATGGGGCTTTAAAAGCTGGTCTAATGGAAGGTGTCCCTGTTCATGGCAGTGGCGTTGGACCTAGATAGTCTTTAAGGTTCCTTCCAACCCAAACTATTCTGTGATTCTATGATGATTTTTTGAAACCCCAGAGGTTTAGTCTAAGGTAGTTAAAGTTATTTGAACCAGTAACTAGGAGGTGAGCACTGTCTGCTACATAGACTTGTATCTCAGTGGAAGATGCATGCAGTGTGTTGATAGCTTACCATTAGCCTCAGGTGCTGATGTAGGTTCACTCTGTAGTGCCATTGGCATCCCTGGACCTGGTGGCCCTGGTGGGCCAGGTAGGCCCTTTGGACCGGGCATCCCAGGGACTCCAGGTAGTCCAGGTAGTCCTCGAGGTCCTGGTACTCCTGGCTCTCCCACAGTTCCTTGCAGGCCTTGAAATCCTGGTGGGCCTTGAGGCCCAGGTGGACCATCTTTGCCTTGTGGACCTGGTGGCCCTGGATCTCCACTTGGTCCAGGCAGACCCGTCTTGCCAGGAGAACCTCTCTGACCTTTGGAGCCAGGTGATCCTCTTGAACCTTTCCCTCCTTTTTCTCCTGGTGGCCCAGCTGGCCCTGGTGGGCCCTTCTCACCTGCAGATCCTGGTGGTCCAGGCTCTCCTTTCTCTCCCTTTTGTCCTTTTAGGCCAGCAGGGCCAAGAGGACCTTGAGGGCCTCTCTCACCTTTAGGTCCCCTTGGACCAGGAGGGCCTGAAACAAGGTAAGCATGTAAAATAGGGGTATGTGCAGAAAACAAAACAAAATTCCTATGTGGGGTCCTTGTTTAATATATCTCAGACCAGTGACAGTGGATATTTAGCAAGACATAAACCAGGTTAAGACCTACTTCCAGCAGTGCTTGCAACAGTACATCTGCTTCCCGGGTCCTATACACCACTGCTCTTTCCTCAATCTTCATGCAACACAGGATACAGAAGAAAATAAGCTTATGCACCTTGTCATATGAACTGGACAGTGACACCATGCCCCTAGGTGACCAGCCAAGGCATCAGTGCCTGCAAGACACACTCCGTGCCATTGATGCACATGGTCCTGCGTGTTGATGGTCCTGTTCCCTCACTCTGCCACCCTCCCTTTTCCTTCTAGTCTCATCTCTCTGTTCTTAGACCCCAGGAGTCTTTGTCCTAACCCAGTTGCTGCTCTGTCAATAATGGGATGTCAAGAAGAGGAAAAACAATGGATAGTCAGCAATAGGCCAACTGTGGGAAAGACCAGAAGTACTAGTTGCTAACTGGCCAGCTATAATAGAACAGAGAACAATACCCACAACAGGAAATGGCAATACTATGACAGCAATAAACAACAAAACAATTTTGGATTCCAATTATGGATGAGCAAATTCCTTGTCAATACCTACTTCCCCCAGTGTCTCCACAACCAATCTACATAATTTAAACTCCTCCAGAGATAAATTCCCAAACTATAATCATTTAGGTCTGGTTAAAATGACAAAGGTTAAGATTACTGACATGTAATCTTGGATCTAATTCACCCTTACTTTATTTGGAGCAATGGATTTATATTTGTGATTAGTGTTTTAGGCCTGACTGGTTCCCATCAGGTTGGAAATATGAGCGTTCTTTTCATTTGGGATAATATTTGGCTGGGAGAAACCTCCTAAACCTGATGCCATTTATTTCTGGAGAAAATAAAATATCCCAGGATTAAAAACTAAGTGAAGTAGGATGTTTTCTGGCAGACTAACAACTGGCTTAAAGTGAAATAGCAACTTGTTTTTCAGTAAGGGTGGACCTTTCTGGGAATAGTCCAACATATATTTTTTATCCATTTCCTGCTTAGTGGGGATTGGTTTCTTGAGGTTCCACACCTTCACTCACTTATTTTAGAAACTAAATCAAAAGCAGATCCAGTCAGTCAGACAGAGTAAAATTTTGCTAAGTCAGAACCTTCTTTCATAACATACCTATTCTAGCTATGTAAAGAAGGCATAGAAAAGCTAGTCAGGAAAATTCAAGCTACACATACATTTCCAAAGTTAAGGATTAGATAATGGAAAACTCCAAGACTCTGTACCAGCATTCACTAGTTTCCACACAACTAAAGAAGTAATGCAAGCAGGAATTCAGCACAGACCTTTATAGGCATCATTAGGGAAGCTGCATACCTTGTAGGATAGTGAAGTTCTTGATGAGTTGGCCATGTTTGGAATCTACCAGCTTCATTTCTTCCATGATTACTGACAAATTGGCAACTTCAACATCTAACCTTGACCTCATCAAATCCTGTTGCACCTTGAGAGATGCAGAGTCTAAGCGAATATTGGCTAGTGTGCTGTTCATAAAAATCAGTTCATCTGAATGTTTACTTAAGGTGTCTGTACAAGTTGTCCTGACCTCATTGAGATTGCTAGTCAGTGTCCGTAGATGACGAGCAGTGTAGCTGATGTTGCTAATGATACTGACTGTATCAGTTTCAAAGACCTGTAACCGTTCTTCCAGATGGCTGAATTTGGCAGCAGTTCTGTTTTCATATCCTTTATGCTGTTCCTGGAGATCCCTTAGATTTTGTTCGTTGGCTTGGGCAATTGTGGTGATGTTCTCCATTTGCCCACTGAAGGAGCTGAGCTGATTGTTCATGTCTTCAAGTGTATCATTGTTAGCTTTTGCCAATGCTGAGTTGTTGGCGGCCAAAGTCTGTAAATTTTGTACTTTCTCCTTAAGCCAGTCAGTGTCCTTCCGGGCTTGAAGGACAACCTGCTGCAGATTTTGAAAGTCATTCTTGATTCTTAGAATAGCCAAGCTTGTATCTTCCATTGACTTCTGCAGGACACTGATAAGATTTCTTTGCTGTATTTGAGTCAGGTTTAAGTTGTTCAGGTTCATGATGACCACATTATGAGAATGCACTTGATTTTGCAGGTTTGTTTGGATATTACTTGTGTCTTGTTGAAGATTGTTGATATAGCCAGTATATGCCTGAAGAGTCTTATTGACACTGATGATCATGAAAGAGTTACTATCTAAGGCACTTTTCATTTGGCTCTGTCTATCATCTAACGCATTTCCAGACTCTTGCAGCTTCTCCAGTGTATCTTTGTTTCTGGTAGTTTTCTCTGCAATGTCATGCAGCTGCTGACGAAGAGCCAGAATGTCAGATCTGAAGCTAGACAGTTCAGTGTTAGTATTCATGGCTTTTTGTCCAGCTTGGTCATCTGTTGTACAGGAAAAAAAATTGAAAGGTTTTAGGATGAGGGTTTTTTTAAACACAGTATAAAGCAGCACATTGTATTTTAAGTACACTGCGGTTGCCAAACTGTTCAATAGCACTTCTGTGCTATCTTTTTCAGAAAAGAGAAACCACTGAGCAAAGCTCTGTCACTAGACAGAGAAAAAAAGCAAAGAGGAATTGATGAAGATCTTGTGACTTGCACAGGAGAACAAAAAGGTGATTCTATCATCACATATAGGAAAAACTACAATTAGAAACAGGTAAGTATATGTAATCACCTAGTGCTGTATTCTGAATGAAAACTGAACGATAAACAGAATTCAAAACATTAAAGAGGTATCTGTAAGTGTATGTTCTGAAGTTACAACTGGATTTTGCTGAAAGCTCAGAAGTTTCTTTTAGCTGTTCATATTTTCTTCCTCCTTTTTGTGTCAGGTGGAATATCTTCATTGTGATTTAGTACATTTAGTTCCATTTTTTAAAATCTTGGGTTTAGTTTTAAAAAAGTTCTAATACTTTAAAATAACCTGGGTCAGTGACAAAAGCTTTGCCAGCAGGCTACTTCAGATATGTCAGGATATGATGTATTTCTGGTTTTCTCTCTAACATATTACTATTGCTTTTAATGGCAGTTATTTTGCTGTTATTGTTTCCTCATGTTCTGAGTTTGAGGAAGGCAAAACCTTTAATCACTGAGAAATGTCTCTGCTCTTGCTTACACTGCCCTACAGAATACTTCTGGAAGTTTGTCTGAGTATGATTAAGCATTTGAGGCTGCACAGCCTATCAGCCAGGACATAGAAACTAAGGAAATAAGCAGTCAACACTTGCTTTCAGGGAAGATTCCCTTTCTTGACCTCAATCACTTCACTCTCCTACTCACAGTCCATATATTTTTGTCCTCATCTAAGTGTAGCAATATTGATGAGTTACGCAGTCTGAAGTTCATTATTTCAGATGACTCCAAGAGAGAGCAGTATGGTTTTCATAAACTGCTGTGAATACAGCTGTGTATGGAGCTTTTGTCTGGTGTGTTTGGATGAGTCATGATGGTGAACATCAAATGGTGAGACTTCAGCCTGAAGTGTTTATGGAGTCTTTCATGGATGGACATCTTCCCGAGCACAGTTCCTCTCCCTGACACTTGTCTCACTCCAGGATCTTCTCAGCTCTGACTCTATGTTTACCTCTTGGCTATAGCTCCAATTATATTGTGTTCCTCATACAGCTCTGACAACTGCCAGGTCCACATACAGCTAATCCCTGAAGGCTGTTATGCTTCTGGCCCTGCAGTAGTTCTCTTACCTTTCTGTCTCCTATACACATTGCTCCAGAACTTTTGTAATTTCCTCCATGGTAAGTCCACTTGAATGGGAACTGATGGTCCTGAGCCATCCATCCAGCAGTGCGTAAAATGTGTGGGCATGAATGAATCAAAGGTGCTCCAAGTTGTGAAAATTCAATCAGCATAATATAATAACCCACATATAACCCAAAAGGTTGCACATGCTTTAAGGAGTTACATTTACTTCTGTATGTATGTCAGTAAAAGAAAATGTCCCCAAATTACCCCATGTCTTTGAATGAAATGCAGTGTGCAAATACTTCAGAAGGCAGCTCTTTTTCTGAGGGGAAAAAGTTGTAAAAATTTATGATCAAGCTGCAAGCAAGTAATTTTTCCTAGAAATACATGTCCCAATATATAGTTTATGAAGATAAACAAAATTTATTTCATGTGTATGTGCACATGAATATTTATATTAAAATAATCATATAAACTGTAAGTGTATGTATAACAAGAAAGGTAAAAATGTACACTCAGTGAGTAGAATGATTTTTTTACTTTCTGTCTTCCTGCAAATTGAGAACTTTGATAGGACATGGAAGACCTGAACTCATAACAACCTTTGTCCTGTATTCCCTGAGATGATTAAGAAACATTTTATGGGAGTAATCAACTTGCCTCAGACACAAGAATTTGAATAACTGATTATTTGTGCAACTCTTAAAATGGCTTTCAGTTTTGAAGCTTAATTGCTAAAACAGCACCAAGATGACTCGGGAACCGATTTTAATGTTACGTAGAATCTCTTGTGCTGTGGAAGAGCTTCTGCTATGTTTTACATGTCTGCCTCAAAAAAGATTCTCTCCTGAGGACAACCTTTAAGTGTCTGTTTATTTAAGTATAAATGATTTCAGAGTGACTTCAGTGGGAACTGTAAATTTTGAAGCATGCTTAAAATGCTGTCCTAAGTAGCGCCAATGTTAACTATTTTTAAGTGATTTCCCAAGCACTTGAGAAACTAGAGTAGATACGCTGTATCTTGTCATAGGCAGAGATTTCTTAGCCAAATCTCCTGATGCTATCTACCAGGAGAACACCCCAGAGCCATAATACAAAGAGACTTTATTTGTGCATAGATTACCTAATTTCTTTAGATCACTCTCCACCTCTGTGAGCTTTTCTGTATATCTTCTGTGGGACGTTTCCAGGCCACCTGTCACATTGTCCATTTTTTCTACAACTAGGGGAAAGAGAACAGTATGTTATGGAAACAAGAAAAGTGAAATTATTAAAAAGGTCTAGTAAACAATAAAACAAACAAAAAAATAACCACTACCATCAAGCAAAAAACAAAAAAAGAAAACACCTTACAGTTGCCTTTCTTGTCATTACACTCTGCTGTTGCTCTGTGAAATGTTGGAAGGATGAGCTCCTATTTGCTGGTGGGACTCAGAATTCTTCCAGTTCTTCAGTCTGCCAACAGTCCCTAAACACTTTTCTTGTCCATGAGCAATTTCTCTCCTGAATGAGGAAATCCCTCTTTGCGGGTTTTCCTCACAAACCAAGTTCTTTTAATAGCATTTCCATGCTCCAAGCACAATGCTTGTGTGGCAAAGGCAAACTGATTGCTAAAGGCTCAGCTGCATGAAAGAAGACTTCCTTTTACTTTGCTATGAGCATTTCTCCTTAAAAAGAATTTTATTTTTCTTGTGCCTTTTAATCATTAAAAATTGCCACCTGAATAGAAAACTTAGGACCAATACAGTAGTTTGAATATGCAATTAGTAAATGTTTTGGGATTTTTAACCATCTTGATAATGGTACAGATCACTCAAAATGGTCTTGAAATCATTCTGTTTCATTAAGATTGAAAGGATGGCTATTCACCAAGTGCAGATTTATGGCTGATGTGCTTTTTATTTTGTAATGTCTGAGTAATTTTCTTGTCACTGAGACAATTGATTATTTGATGGAAGTGATAAAGGAATGGAAAAAGTAGAGCAAGAAATAAAGAGCCTGGGGTGGCTTCCAGTGGCAAAAATTTGAAATGCTTGCAAGATTAGAGATAGCCTCTAGCTTTCACACCAAGGCTTGTCTAATAGCCTTTTGCATTCAAGCCAAACACAGGAGCAGAAATTTCTTCTCATCAAGAGATTATTAAACTGGGAGCAGAATGGGTTTGAAACAACTCTGGGAAAAGCTATGAGTTATTGTGCCAGCTCCCTCTTTCAAACAGAAGAAATAAGGTATTTCCCATGTCTTTAAGTTCTGTAAACCTGTGTGGGTAGAGGGTACCACTACCTCTTTTTGTCTCTGAGATGATTTGCAGCTAGGAAATAGTCTCATAGAAATTGCTGCTATGTAAAAATTTGGGGTTGTACTAGGAGTGAAATTTAAGGATTTTTTGCTGCTCACGAGAAACCACATGAATCCTAGACCTTTAAAGTGTAGCCCACCAAATACTCCTTTTTATTAACTTTTGCCTTTGTTTTTCTGATTCGGGACACCAGAATTACACAGCAGGCTTTTAGTGCTTCCCCAAATCGAACTGGAGAGAAAGAAGACCAAGGTTATCTCTGATGCAACAGCACTGAGGTGAATGGAGTTACAACACAGAAAGTCTCAGGGTTTTCAGAGAGATCAGACACCCTTTGGTGAATTACCTCTCTGGTCCTTTCTAGACTGCTAACAAGCCAGTAAAACAGACACTGTACTGTGCGTGCAAGGATAGTCAGAGTGTGGCTTTCTGCATTTGAGCTGATGACAGATTGCTTGCTAAATACCAGATCCAGGCTACAATAATTGCTTTAGTTTTTCAGAGAGACAGTTGCTCAACACCTTCTGCTTTAGAAAGCATTTTTCTCCTCGTGATAGCATTAATTTTTCACTAGGTCTTCTGCCCATTAAAGGTGTCAAAATGCTGTTATGCCATTTTTCCTAAGTGAAGCCAGAGCTGATTCTCTATCCTGCCCAGCTAGAGCCCAGCTCAGCTCAGGTCCTTCACTTACTTCTGACACTCCACTGATGCATGTACACACCTCTTCATCACATGCAGTGAGCGAGAGGACCATACTTGCCTTTTCCTTCTAGCTCTAGGCAGCTCTGTGTTTGGTCTGTGGTGTTCTGCTTCTTTTACAGATAGTCACCGTGAGGGACATGGCTTGCTCAGGGCACTTAGAAAGGACCTCATGAAATCATCTGGGTTTAAAAAGCAGGCCTAATTCAAGTGTTTCTG